AAGAAAAAAGCCGGAAGTGGCGCTGTGGCTCAAGTGGTAGAGCGCTAGCCTTGAGCTGAAGAGCTGAGGGACAGTGCCCAGGCCCAGAGTTCAGGCCCCAAGACCGGACCCAAAAAAAAAAAAAAGTCTCACATACTTTCCTGCTCAGGCTGGCTTTGAACTATGATTCTCATATCTCAGCCTCCAGAATAGCTAAGATTACAGGCGTGAGCCACCAGCCTCTGGCCTCACATATTATTTTTCTTATTGGCTAACATTTGCATGTACATGGTCAGAAAATTAAGGATTCCCTGAAGGTTAAGTTATGTCACCAGAAAGGGTTTTTATCCATTATCACTCTCCTTCTGATAGGGGAGGTGTGGCTCCATAGCTAGAATACTAGCCTTTAGCAAAAAAGCCAAGCAGCATTGCCCAAGCCCTGAGTTCAAGCCCCAGTTCCAGCACAAAAACAGACAAACAAGCAAATAAAGAAACCCTCATAATTCCTAAGGGAAAGGGGTTTACTAAAACCTTTCACACAGACTTTGTGCATGTTTCTCTGTAACGTGTTCTCAGGTGCACAGTACGATTCTAGTTGTACTGCAACTTCCACACTGATCACATTCATGGCTTCTCTCCAGGTTGATTTCTTTTGTTTTCTGTGAGGTATGAACTCTTACTAACAGCTTTGTTACACTCACTATATTTGAGAGGATGCTTGAGTTAGACGAGTTTTCATATGTCTTCTACTGCCTAAAAGTCCGTTGGAAAATTTTCCCACATTTCTTACATTCACATTGTTTCATTATTCTGTGGAATTTATTAGGATATAAGGTAAGATTTCACTATGAAGGCTTTCCCACATCAATCACACTTAAAGGGCTTTTCACCTGTGTGATTTCTTAAGCATCTTTAAGACTGTGGTAAAGTTTGAAGGATTTCTCACAGCAGTAAGAGTACCCTGTACACAGAACATTTCCACACACTGATTATTCTCATTTGGTTTCTGTTCAGTATGAATTTACATGTGTGCTATAAAGAGTACACTCTTAATAAAGGTTTTGCTACACTCACTACATTTAAAAGCCTTCTTTTCCCTGGTGTGAGTTTTCATATGTTTCCCAAAAGTTAACAGATCCCCAAAGACTCCCACATTCAGTACACTCATATTATTTCATTCTCTGGCATGTTTTTTTTCTGTAAAAATTGAGGGAATAAGGGCTGGGAATGTGGCTTAGTGGCAGAGTGCTTGCCTAGCATGCATGTTGCCTTGGGTTCAATTCCTCAGTACTACATAAACAGAAAAAGCTGGAAGTGGCTCAAGTGGTAGAGCACTAGCCTTGAGCACAGAGAGCCTCAAGGAAGAGCCCAGGCCCTGAGTTCAAGTGCCAGGCCTGGCAAAAAACCCACAAGACCCACCAATATTTGTCTGGGAATGTGGCTTAATGGTAGAGTGCTTTCCTAGTATTCATGAAGTCCTGATGAAGTCCCGGCTTCAATTCCTCAGTACCACATAAACAGAAAAACTCAAGAACTGACATTGTGGCTCCAGTGGTAGAGTACTAGCCTTGAGCAAAAGAAGCTCAGGGACAGTGCCCAGGCCCTGAGTTCATGCCCCAGGACTGGAAAAAAAAAAAAAAAAAAGAGGGAATATTTACACTGGGTGGCTTTCCCACATTGTTTACATGTAAGGGGCTTTCCCCCCATCATGAATAACTCTAATGTTACTTAAGACTTGAATGTACCTGAAGGCATTCTCATAGTGATTGTGTTTATACATTTCCTCTGCTGTATGATTTTTTTTTGGGTGCACATAAAACATTAGAGTTTATTCTAAAAGTTTTCCTAGAGTAATCACACTTGAAAGATTCTTTTCTTCTAGTATGTATTTTTCAGGTGCATTTTGTGTGTGTGTGTGTGTGTGTGTGCACGCGCGCGCGTGTGTGCAGGCGCGTGCGCCAGTATTGAGGCTTGAAGTCAAGGTTTGGACATTGTCTGTCAGCTTTATCTGCTCAAGTTTAGTGTTCTACCACTTGAGTCACAGCTCTACTAATAGATTTTTGGTGGTTAAGTGAAGAATCTCATGGACATTTCTGCCCAGACTGGCTTCAATCCTTAGATCTCAGCCTCCTGAGTAGCTAGGATTGATTACAAGCATCATCTTACTGGAGCCTGGTTCTCAGGTGCATTTAAAAAGATTTCTGATTACTTAATAATTTTCCACCTAGCTTCATTCAATTAATTTCTCTTCAGTGTGGATTCTCTTATGTCTGGTAATGTATGAGAGAATATTGAAGGTTTTCCCACAATCATTGAATTTATAGTTTCTCTCTAGTATATGTTGGATTGTATATAGTAAGCTTAGAGCATATGCTACCGCACCTCACCTTTAAGTTGTTGAGCTTAGTTATTTTGTTGCAGCAATGAAAAGCTAACAAAATGATTATCACATAGTTAAATTATACTGTGGTCTCTTTGGGACACAGGTAAGAATATGTTTGTTTTTAGCCATCAAAATATGGACAGATGAGCTGAGCACCAGTGGCTCATGCCTATAATCCTACCTACTCAGGAGGCTGAGATCTGAAGATTGTGATTTGAAGCCAGACTTGGCGAGAAAGTATATGAAACTTTTATGTTCACTTACCCCCCTCCACCAAAACTCACCAAGCCCAAAGAATTGATTTTTTTGGGGGGTCCAGTCGTGGGGCCTGAACTCTGGGCCTGGGCGCTGTCCCTCAGCTCTTCAGCTCAAGGCTACTGCTCTACCACTTGAGCCACAGCGCCACTTCTGGCTTTTTTCTTTTTGCTTATGTGGTGCTGAGGAATCGAACCCAGGGCCTCAAGCATGTAAGGCAAGTGCTCTACCACTGAACCACCTTCCCAGCCCAAGCCCAAAGAATTGAAAGTGCATGTATGGATCAAGTGATAGAATGCTACCCTTGAACAAAAAAGCTCAGGGGCAGTTTCTAGGCTCTGAGTTCAAGCCCCAGAACTGGCACAGAAAAAATGATATGAACAAATTATAATACAATCTTTGTGCTATTAGAGAATAACTGAAATATTTAATGGGTGTATTTGGTGTCACAGACCAACATAGTTCTTGTAAGAAGCCTCCGTGGTTCTCACCTCCTGGTACCAGTGCTTCCATGTACTTCCTTCCCTCAATGTATATATGTAGCTCTCGTTTTGAGGATGCCAGTTGTTGCAATGTTTGCTTACTTATAGATAAGCTCACAAGCTATGAACAGATACCCTTGTTCATTAGCTAATGAGGACCTGAGGCCCACCAACAGCCACATGAATGAGCTTGGAAGCGATAATCAGTGAGATGACTACAGTCCAGCCTCACTCCTTAATTACAGTTTTGTGAGAGACTCTGAGGCTGAAGCATCCAGTTAGTCACATCTAGGTAATAAATGCCTGGATTTTTAAGGTGCTAATGTAATTTGTCATATAACAATAGATAACTGATACATTTCTTTCTAGGATTCAAATTATTCTTCTCTTTCTCTCTCTCTCTCTGGTGCCAATTCTGGAGCTTGGACTTAGGATCTAGAGCTGTTCACTAAGCTGTTGTGCTCAAGGTTAGCACTGTACCACTTGAGCCACAGCTCTACTTCTGGCTTTTTGGTGGTTATAGGAGATAAGAGTCTCATGGACTTTCCTGTTGGGCTGATTTTGAACCTTAATCCTCAGATCTCAGCCTCTTGAGGATTATAGGATTATAGGAGTGAGCCACAGGTGATCAGTACTTTTTATTGTGGTAAAATACATAGAACATAGACATCATTTAAATTTTTTTTTTTAGTTCAGTAACATTAAGTAGATTTGTATTGTTGTGGAATTACCACGATTATTTGGTTCCACATTTTTAAAAAGTCATCCTAAATTGAAACAAGATCTACCAAAAAATAATTCCTCATTACATCTCCATTGGCTCCTGAAACCATGACTTTATAGTCCATCTTGTGAAATTGACTTGTCCTAGTACCTCATGACAGTGGAGTCAGGATCTAGCATTCCTTCTGAGACTGACTTATTTCATGTAGCATTGTATCTTTGAGGTTCTTGTTTTGCAATATGTGTCATAATTTCATTGTTTTTAAGGCTGACAAGAATTCATTGTGTAAATGAATACCAGGAAGTTGAATCATGTTTTGTTGGGGAGTGGGGCTTGAAGGGCAGACAAATGGAGAGAGGATTGGAAGGGGGAAAATATAGCCATTAAATTCAATGTACATATGTGAACGTGGAATCAGATAACTTGAGGGGCTGGGCTGGAAGAAATCGAGGAACATGATGGAAGGGGTGGCGTTGATCAAGACACATTGTACATATAAATGGTTAAATGTATTTGTAAACTCTACCACTTGAGCCATACGTCCACTTCTGGCTTTTGGCTTAGAAATAGAAGTAAGAGTCTCATGAATTTGTCTGCCTGGGCTGGCTTTGACCTGTAATCCTCAAAGCTCAGTCTCCTAATTAGCTCAGATTATAAGCATGAGCCACCCGTACCTGGCTAAGCTTCAGCCTTTTTATTCTACAGCTTTATGAGAGAAACTTGCTCATTTTCTCCCTAAATATCTGTTTCACTTGTTTGTTCCTCAGGGTGTAGATGAAGGGATTGAGCATCGGTGTCACTACAGTGTTGAGTAAAGACACTGCTTTGTTCTGGTCCTCCCCACGCCCACTCTTTCCTGACCGGACATACATGAAGATGCAGCTGCCATAGAAGAGAGACACAACAATGATGTGGGAGGAGCAGGTTGAAAAGGCTTTCTTCCTCTCCTTGGCCGAGGGAATGTGCAAGATTGTGTGGAGGATATTGCCATAGCAGGTGGCTGTCACAGCCAGGGTGCCCAGGAGGCTAATGTTGGCAATGACAAAACCCAGCAACTCGAGTAGACTTGTGTCTGCACAGATAAGTTCCAGGAGTGGAAAGTTGTCACAGAAGAAATGGTTCACAATGTTGGGACCACAGAATGGCTGCTGAAATGTGATGAAGGTTGGGACAAAGATGAGAAGCAATCCTGTCATCCATGAGCAGAGCACAAGTTGGACACAGACCCGTTTGCTCATGATGGTGGCATAATGAAGAGGCTTACAGATGGCTACATATCTGTCAAAGGACATCACTGCCAGCAGGAAGAACTCTGTGGTACCCAGAAAGAAATAGAGGAATAACTGGAGGAAACATCCTACTAGGGAGATTGTCTTACATCCTGTGAGGATGTTGGTTAGCGTCTTGGGGAAGATGACAGAGGTGAACCAGATCTCCAGGATGGCAAAGTTGCGCAGGAAGTAGTACATGGGGGTATGGAAGCGGATGTCCATGAAGGTGATGACCACGACAAGGAAGTTCCCCAATAGTGTGAGGAGATAGGTCAAGAGGAACCCCAGGAAGATGAGCATCTGCAGCTCACAGGCATCTGAGAGCCCCAGCAGGACAAACTCAGTGACAGTGGTCTGGTTCCCCATGGCTCCTCTGATCTTGGTTGCCATGGCTGAACAAAGGTATTTAGCATCAGCAGTTGTGAAGTTTTGAGCATTTGAGGACAACCTGGAGGTGAAAGGAAAAAGGAATGAAAGTCACATTTTGTACTGAAGAATTCTTTATTTCTAAGGAGTTAACTTCCCATTGCTGACCACTCAGATTATTTACAGAGCCTTTGGGCATGCCAATTTCGTGTTTGGTATCTATCTGTATGTTAAAGGAAAGGGTACAATAAGGTTCAGGATTAAGAAAAAAAATTGTCTTATTTTTCTGAGCTAAACTATTTATTCCTATTTTTCAACAAATTCCTTTTGTTCCTGGCAATCTAATCTGCCTTCAACACTGTTTTTTTTTGTTTGTTTGTTTTGGTCCGGTCATGGGGCTTGAACTCTGGGCCTGGGGCACTGTCCCTCAGCTCTTCAGCTCAAGGCTAGTGCTCTACCACTTGAGCCACAGCGCCACTTCCGGCTTTTTTCTTTTTGCTTATGTGGTGCTGAGGAATCAAACCCAGGGCCTCTGGCATGCAAGGCAAGCGCTCTACCACTGAGCCACCTTCCCAGCCTCCAAGAGGTTCTTATCTCCAATTAACCAGCAAAAAGCTGGAAGTTGAGGTGTGGCTTAAGTAGTAGAGTGCCAGCTTTCAGCAAAAACTTAAATAAGAGTTCTATGCCCCTTGTTTGAACCCCAGTACTGATACAAAACAAAAACAAACTGCATTTAAGAGTGTTTTTTTAGGAGAATTCTTTTTAAATAAGCACTTGTTTATTGGTATTCAGTTAAGTTTTCATATCAAAATATTAAAAGTAATCCTACTTACGCAGGAGGCTGAGATCTGAGAATTGCAGTTCAAGGCTAGCCCCGGCAGGAAAGTTTGTGAGACTCTTGTCTCCAATTAACCAAAAGAAAACCAGAAGTGGCGCTATGGCTCAAGTGGTAGAGTGCTCACCTTGAGCTGAAGAGTGCAGAATCCAAGCCCAGAGTTTAAACCCCACAACTAACAAAAGAAAATTAAAAAAAAAAGAAAGTCCCAGAGTTCTTTAAAAACTTTAGTAAAACATATCTATAATTACTATCAGTCATGAACCTTGAAATTAATGTGTGCCTGTAGTACCCAAGTATTTAATTATAGACTTTATGTAGAATAATATATGTAACTTTTCAGTGCATTTATTTCTTGATGAGATGAAGAACTGAAATCATATTCTCCATAACAATGAAATCATGCTGAGAAAAAAAATCTGAAATTTCAAGAAATAAAGACTTCCAGAGTCATATTACTAAAAGCTATGTTTTCTATACAACAGAGCTGTTGAATTTAGAGTTTAGCCCTTTTTCTCCATTATTGTCTTTAAATCAAGTGTTCATGTTTTCTTCAATGTTAGATCTAAAAATAACTATAAATTATTAGTGGAAAGATTATTATTTGTTCTTTCCCTTCAAAATAATTATTTGAAAGGGAGAATTTAAAGACAATCAATTAATGATGAAAAAAAAAGATTGCTTAAAGCATGGATGCCTTTCACTAGTATTTGGATTAATAAAGAGAAATGAGGCAGGTGTCAGCAGCTCATTCCTGTAATCCTAGCTACTCAGGAGGCTAAGAACTGAGGACTGTGGTTCAAAGCTAGCCCTGGGTACAAACATCTGTGAGAGTCTTAGATATAATTAACCAGTGAAAAATTCAAAGTAAAGCTGTGGCTAAAGTGATAGAGCACCAACTTTGTGTGAAAAAGCCAAACAAGAGGTCAAGACCTTGAGTTCAAGCATGCATGTACACACACACACACACACACACACACATATACACACACAATCAGTAAGAAGAAAACATAATTGGACTTTTATAAGTCCAAGTGATATCTGCAGAAATGAAAATTCCTTAGTGGGAGTTTGGTGCTCAAAGTTCTTAATGCCTGTGTCTACTTGATAATCTCAGGTGCTTCTCCCAATCCATCCTCCACAAATCCTGGACTCTAGATAAAATAGCTTCATTATAGTTTTTTGACTCTTCATTTTCATGTATCCTTGCTTCCTCACATTGGCATTATTTTAGTTTGTAAGAATCAGTCTTTCAAATCCTACTTGTTCTTTGATCTCTCCCAATAAAGAACTACCTTTTCTAGAAGGTTTTCTTTTCTGAATGAATGAGTCTCTATCATTCACAATTTGACTATTTCTTATTTTTATACTTGATTTTGCATTTGATGCTCATTGACTCAAAAATTCCTGGGGGAGAACAATGGAAGGGGTGACATTGATCAAGATGCATTTACTAATAAAATACGATTTGGTACAACTGCTTAAAGATAATAAAACTTTTCTGCAATAACCTTTGTATTTTATATACCACATAGAGTAAATTTATTTAAGTAATCAGCTTTAGTAACCATTTATTGGCTGAGTGAATCACACTGCCTTGCATATGTGAGACATGGATTTGATAAGCATGTATGACACAGAAACTTGAGGATGCCCGGCGCTGGTGGCTCACGCCTGTAATCCTAGCTACTCAGGAGGCTGAGATCTGAGGATCTCGGTTCAAAGCCAGCCCCCACAGGAGAGACCATGAGACTCCTATCTCCAATAAACCACCAGAAAACCGGAAGTGGTGCTGTAGCTCAAGTGGTAGAGCACTCGCCTTGAACTGAAGAGCTGAGGGACAGCGCCCAGGCCCAGAGTTCAAGCCCCACGACCGACAAAAAAAAAGAAACTTGAGGTCATGTCACTTATGTAATATTTCCTAGGGGACAGAGATCTTGTAAAGTCAGTATGCCAAGGAGCCTTAAATTGATCCATATGAAGAGAATTTGTTTTTCCTCATGAAACAATGGGGGTGCCTCCTTACAACCAGTCTCTAAAGGGGCATTCCAATTTTGAGATGATGTGGAGTTTGAGCTAGTAAATAGACACTGGTCTTGGGTCTGATAGCTCCGAGCAGAAAAAGACCCAAACATAAAAAGCCAAATCTTTCTCTAAAATTTAGCCTTTCTGAAAGTTTTCTTCCTTATACATCATCATTATTACTTTAATTATTAAGCAGAGCAAAACTTATCTGGAAGTTATTGGGAGAGAAAATTGGGACCCCAGTTTAAGGAGCTGAAAGGTAAGAGCTGCTAAGAGTGGTGGGGTAATCAAGGGATGGAAATGATTTTAGTTGAGAGAATGAGCTGATAAGCTTTATAAACATTCCCCCTTTAAAAACTATTTTGGCATGTTTTTGGAGTACGTTATACTATTGAAAATCAATCCACAAATTACCATTATCTCACAGTTGCTTTTAGTTATGAACACAAAATAATTTACCATTTGAAGATATAACCCCAGGAGTTATTTCTAGGCCAATGTGTTATTTAGATTCATCAGCAATTGAAAAAAGAGGTCTCTGCAGCCAGACCCTTTGGTTCAAAGGTAAAGCCAAGAAACTTACCCAGATCTCTTTCCAGAGCAAAAGCAGAATCTAACACTATTCCAATAACAGCTGGGAGCTCACCAGCTTATGCCTTTAATCCTAGCTCCTCAGAAGGCTGAGATCTGAGGATCACAGTTCAAAACAAGTCCAGATAAGAAAGTCTATGCGATGTTTATTTTCAGTTAAGCACCAAAAAAAAGAAAAAAGAAAAAGCTGAAAGTGGAGCTGTGGCTACGGAGAGCCCTAGTCCTGAGCAAAAAACTAAGAGAGTATCCAGAACACGAGTTCAAGCCCTAGTACTAGCACATACACAAAAGATATTCAATAACAAACTAATAGAATGGTTATCATTCCCTAACATGGGACACCTTGGGGAAAAAGAATAGAGAGAATGACGAAGGGCTGATTATGAGAGGTATGAGAGGTATGAAAGGAAAAACTCCAAATTCATACTAAGTTATGAGTTTAGGAGAAACAACCTTGCAGGAGGTGGCCTTTGCAAGAACAAAGTACCTAGACAGGGCTATTTTAAGTCAGAGATCACCAGTTGAGAGTCCTTCTGGCTACAAAAGGAAGTGGGCCACTTTATGAATCTTAGACATTTTTCTCTCTTTATCCTGTATGCTTTTGATAAGTGAAGGAAGAGACACCTGGAAGCTGTAGAGTCTGAACAGGGCTGCACCTTCAGACTGTTATTTTAATGGATAATTATAGGGTGTGTAGTGATAAAGTATGTATTAGCCAGAAATTTGTCTTGCCACCACGAGTGCTGTACATCCTTCTGAACATCTCCAGTACACTAAGAATGTGGATAAATTGTTTCCCATCTAAGAAAAAACACTCAGACCTTCACCCATACTCAGAGTTGTCCAGAGCTTTGGATTTTCCACAGGGACAGTTACTCAATAAGAGCAGGTAATGAAATGGGCTCTGACTGACTGACCATCAGGTTAGCCCCTGCTGTGTCCCAGCATTGACTTAGATGATGGGTCTAAAATTACACAGAAGACTCAGTGCCTGCCTTAATGTGCCTTATAATGGAAAATAAAAGCAAATACCAGTAAGAAGAGGGGTCGAGGAAGCTGTTGCTGCAGAATGAAGATTAGTGCTTAGATCCAGCCAGGGTTGGATGCCCCAAGAGCTTTCTGAAGCCCCAATCAAGATTCAGTGTTGAGAAAAATCACAAATTCACATAGGTATTTCTTGAGGTTGCAAGATTGTCTCTGTGTTCTACATGTTGGTATAAGAGATTTGCATCTCTTATGGATTTAATGCATTCTCTAAGACAACCTGTCCTTTTCTAACCCCTCCTGAGTGGGCAGCTGTCTTCTTCAGAGTAGAATGTTTCCCTTGCAGTGTGTCACCATTCAGCTCAAAGAATATGATGAGTTGAGTGTTTCAAAATTTCCAGATTTCAACACACTTGTTCTGGAGAAGGTGTTGGAAGAGCAAAGTTATCATTTGGAACAATCTTTTTCCTTCCTCCTCCTGGCCTAATGGGGGTGATTCTAATAAAGACATTTCTCTTCCACAGGTCTAGTTGCTGTGAGATGAAGTTTCTTCTATAGACAGTGA